TTCAGCTTGTGCGAATGGCTCAATCAATTTTGGAGTAGCAAGCTTGGACTAGCCCATTCGATCGTTTGTTGGTTATCACAAACATTTCTATCGCATGTAAATGCATGAAATCGTGGGAAATTAACGATCTCCCAAGAACAACAAGAGTGCTTGGTGCTTCTGAACCATCGAGTGGGCTAATCCAAGCTTGCTACTCTAAAAAATACTTTTTTTTGTTTTTCGAGAAGTGAGTTCATTCGGACTGGACAGGGTTTAGACAATCTCGGTCCAACCGGTGACCTTCGACGACCGAAACACCAATCATCTTGTGAGGTTCCCGATGGAATGCGATTGTTTAGATTCAATTAAAGTTACAATGGATTCACCTGAAGTTGAAAGAATATAGTATGAGCCAGAAATTTGGTAGAACAGGTTGTATTCAAGACTGGAATAAGCGAACACCACAAAATAAAGGCTTACCGAGTATTCAACACGAAAACGTTGACCGAAACAATCGAGTTTCTGATTATTACACTGCATTTTTCACAAATTTTCACATGAAAATCTGTTTAGAATGGAACTGACGGATAAAACCGTTTTTCAAGTCACCCTGCAGTTATTCAATTAAAGGTGCTGCGTGGTATCGAAACTCACTTGAGCAAACAACTGCTTTGATTCCGGGGATGTAAGCCATCGCACCCGTAAGGACAAGTGTCCTCCTCTACCGCGTGTTGCACACGTACCGGCAACATCTGATTCTTGCCCGTTTTGCTCACCCGACCACATGGGGTCCGGGAATCGTTTGAAGTCTGACCATCGTCCAATCAGAACACACCAGTCACTGTGAGCATCTTTGATCAATATGGCTCGTTCATTCTGTTGCCAGTTTAGACCAAATTGCGTCCCGTTTTCTTTGGACTTTGCACTCGATCTAGGACCATCTGACCCATTGGGGGAGGAGTCAGATGTTTCACTTGGTGAATCATCCCGTGCTGTTCCATTCATCGGCGCGGTGACATTAGATCGAGCATACGCTGTGCGACCATTGGAGTTGACGGAATGCATAATGTGTGTTCGTTGTCGAAGTTTCTGTAGAGTCCACTGTTTATTTCGTGTACTGCGTTCCTAGATGTTTCAGGCAATTTGAGAATATTAATAAATCAAGTCAAACTAATCAGACTGATGCACGCATGATAAAAAAAACGTGGTATACAACCGATAAAGAGGATGATTTCCAATGTTTGTACCCACCACTAATACCCCTCACAATGAAATGAGATATTAGTCGCTTTATACAACTCGATTGTGAAAAGATCGACAGCTAACGTGGGATTCGAATAAATGCACGGATGTTGCATATTCCCCTAAACAGTCCATGCTCCATCAACTGGGATACGATGGCACACATACAGCTGTGCTCACTTCACACGTGTGAGTGGGAATCCCAATGATCTTTGTAATCTTTATAAAAATAGAATACTCAACGGCGTTTCTCTATCTATCCAAAATGTAAAAGCTCTATTCACATTTAAAACGATTGTGTTTGTACACATTCGGATTCACACACCCCTCCTTGTGCCCAGAAGAAATTTGTGCAAACACTTAAACTCCACTGACCCACCTCGGTCACCCCAACAGGTAATCAACCTTCGAGCTTTGGGCACTAATCAGTTTCACACTAACATATATATAGACGTTTGGAGCCAGCTCTTAAGCATCGGGATTAGAATTTCTCATTCCCTTTTATTCCTGTTGCTAGTTAACTGTAATGCTATGTAATAGCATGATTAAGAATTACTGGAAACTATTTTATTCGCCACGATGTTGTTCTCAATTTAGGTTTAGCTGCTCAGTAGCAATTTCAATATATCAAATACATCACCGAAAACATTAGAAGCACTATAAAGTTTGTTTCATCCCTACTAAAAATCTTCATCAGCGTATTGGCACCGACCTTGTTTTAATAATCACAAATTTAGCGAGTATGCGCAGCGAATGATTCCTGACAAACTTCCCCTATTCGGTAGGTTTGAGGAAGTTATGAGAAAATTCATTCATGAAAAGTATATGAGCCTCGGTAGGATTCAAACACATTCGCGAACGCGACATACACAGCTGTACAGCTTACGCTCTACCAATCCACCTGTGAGGTCAATGGGGCTCATGATCAATTCGGTCAAGTTGCCAAGCCGACATAGTCTTGGGGCTAGTCATCGACGTTCCTAATAAAGACGAGACAGCTGTGTCGTGGTTATCAAGCTTTTCAGCCATATCGGTGACAGTTTGACGTTGAATGGCGAATCACAAGCAACAGAATTTAATGATTTTCTCCTTTTTGTTTCTTCGATTGATTAATTTCAAAACGCTCCAGAGGGGTACATTCTGATATCCGTTAAATGAATTAAATCAAACTCAGAAGTTTGGTCTATTTTGTATAGGATATTGAGGACACAATTTGTTGAATTTAAAAACGCATTGTACAGCTGTATCGTTCCATCTAATAAAACAGAAAAAAACTTGCAACGAAATGCTAGCGAAAATTCAGCAATCGGCATTCCATAAATTTTGAAAACTCCGACGATTTTTATCATGTACAGAGTAAATGGAGCGTAAAGTAAAAAAAACTGAGAAGGACAGTACAGATGTTTTGATTTTTTTCAGTTTCACCATTGAGTCATGTGCTTCTTTACTTTCGGGTAGTTAGGTTCCGAACGTTTCTCACCGAGTCATAACTCCAAGGGAGGGGGATACAAACATACAGCACCAAGCTTATCAAGGCCAGTTGTACCCCACCATGTATCTACGGAGGGAAGCAATTGGATCATTTGTTCGGCAATTAACAGAGTGCACTGCGTGTGTAGTTTTACGAATGCAATTTTGAGTTCGAGCTCAAGATGCCATCGGAGGGTTTGCATTACTGACGGGACCAACGACGTCAACAAAAACAGTTATGCTTCTCTGGTCAATTGTTCAGTTCTCAGAAGTTTTGCTTAGTGTATAACATATTTAATCGTACAATTGAATCAAATAGTTCACGTCTACAATATGAACAAATTAGTAATAGAGATGCTTAAGAGAGCGTGTGAAAACAATAAAACAAAGAGTAGATTTAAAGGCATAACGATTTTGTCAATAAACAGAACTGAGTGGATCTTTGGAACAAGAAGAAAAACCATGCAAATCCATGCAAAATTTATTATACACGTTGACAGTGAATTGCATGTTTTAAAAGTGTTTAGCCATCCCCAGTGAACACGTTTAATTCTTTACTGATTCTGATGAGAAATTACTGTTTTTAACCTGATCAGTAGCAAGTAAGTTTATTTCAGTTAGGAAAAATTCTTCTCATGGATGAGTTTTTGTGTTGATAGAGGTTATTTGTGCGACGACAGTCAACTTTTCCGATAAAATTGCATAACTTGGAAGTTTTGCTGACAAATGTTACCGAACCGAGGTACGCTACCAATCAAGGCAGAATTTGTTTTACAACCGATTAATTCAATAACTATTTGCGTTCAGTCATCTTGATTTGGTCGTAACGATTTCAGATGCACACATATTGACTTCTATCGTGTATCCTTGCACGAAGGGCGTTTTTAAGTTTGTGACAGTAAAGTGATTGCTTTAAAAAGTGGCTTTGTCAAGATCACGAAACAATGTGTGTTTATTGTTCGTTTATTAAATAGTCAATAATTTATGCTTTTCGAATATTCCTAGAACTGAAAAAACTTCGCATCCAGTGTACATGTTACGTAAGTCCTGTAACCCCCACCATTGTTGTTAGAAAATGCTGAAGATTTTTGCCCATTCTCGAAAATGGAATTTTATAATTATGCAAGCATTTGAACCAGTGTTCGGTTTGACTGAATTGATGACTAGGCTCATTAGGGCTTCAGTGAATAATCAGAGACTGAACAATGCAGGCAACATATATCGAAAAGTCAAAAAATTGCTGTAGAATGTTCTGATGGGATGCACCCGTTGCAGATCATAGATACAGTGCAGGATTTTCGTGTCTTTTGAGGTTTTAATCCTGCGGAGTTGTTTAATATCCTACTACGTGGCGAATAAATTGTTTATGAAATGTAAATTACTTGTGCGCCTTTACACAGTAATTTCTGTCTTGCTTATGGAGAAATCGATTGCTTAAAAAAGCTTGGATTACTTCACTGGACCGACAATGTTGACAGATTTTTCAAACTTCAAACTATTGCATTCTGCCCTCCCTTAATTATCTGAATGTGACTTAGAGAAATGTGACCGGGGAAATATGCATGAAGTGTCTGGGAATAAAATATATCATGTGAATTCACGTCTTCACTATATAATTCATTATTGTTGGTTCCTCCACAGAATTGTGCGATACACACAAGAGAGAACTAACCGGTATTCGAAGTTGCTTTATTTGACATAATTTGTCGTTGATTTTCAATTTTGATGTCATTTTGTGACCTACTCAAAAAATATTTTACAACTTCAATCAATATTCTCTGTACAGGATTTACTTGTCAAGTCACAATGCGTAAAAATTTGAGGAAAACAGTATTGTCTGCATAGAGCACATCTGCTGAAACTGTAAACCAACTGGCAAAGAAGTATGTGAACGAACTACACTTTGTGTTCTGCTTGTATACATGATGCGGGCTTTTTCATGGTCCGCAACAAAGAGATACTGTGGATAATATTCTCCACAAACCGGTAAACTGATCGAAGACTCTCATCCCAGTGCAAGTGACTGATATTTGGAGTTAGAAAATTTTATCCAGCAGTCACTGACTGACATTTTTTTGGATATGAAACGATACGATATCACACAAAACGAGAACTTTGGCCATGCCGATACGGAGACAGGAACACGCGTGCATGGTTTGGGAGTAGCAGATGTTTGAGGTCATTTTGCACTCATCGACTTCTGGGGAAAATATCGAATAACTCTTGGTTTTCATCAGAAACCTTATTGTTACTTACCAAACTAATGATAAGTTATTCGTGTTTAATCAAAAACGTAGTACCCCCAAAAAGGTTTTCACACAAAAATGAATTACATAAAAAGTGAACAAGCTTTTGCTAGCGATCATAATGAAATTGATTGTTACCTGTTTATTTGTCTTTTTTGGTATCAGCCACAAACAAGTTGATTGCTGGTGGTTGTGGTCAAAACTGTCGGTAAATAGGGCAAGATAAACACATAAAACCGCTATGTAGAGAATCGTATTGTGTTAACTAATGAGACTCAGTTTTGCCTGCTTACTCTTTGGAAGAAAGTAAGGATAATATCTGCCCACCAAAGCTGATAACTATCTGATAAGCTCTAGCACATTCAGCGACGGTGACTGATAAGCGGCATGCTGTGAGAAAAAATGGCCTATAATCACATCGAGGACACCAGGTCAGGCGAACAGTCTCTTTTAGGCTGAACAATTGTTTGCTTCATTCTTCATTTTGTTGGATAGATGTGGATCGCAAAAGTGAACAGTTATGTCGCTGTCTTCACACACTCATCCAGTGATAGACGTATATAGCTAACCAATAGGGTGGCTACAGATGAGAGAGTCTGCAGCGCTGGAGTCCGTGCTGAAATTTGTCGCAAATTATGGACAAAAGTTTGGTTGTTTCTAGCCAATTTATTTGAATGAACAGGTAATTGGGCGACTTTACTAGGCAGTGCACAGTTCAGGATGCAACCGAATACTATGAATTTTATTATACATCAAAAATTACTATTCCCCGTATTTCAGGCAGAGTTCTTCATAGATGGCTGTGCTGATTAGATCAAGCTCCGAATGTTGAATAAGCTGGAACACAAACTTAACTACAGAAGAATGTGAACACAGCATAACATGAACACAAGAGTATTACTCAAGTCCTTCGTTGCATCATAAAGACGCTATTTGTACTTCCGTATCAATTAAATGCCATCTACGTTGCTTCTTCTTGACAAAGGGAACAAGATAATGTCAAGTAATGATTCATGGCATTGCACTTGGTTTAGTCCTATCCTCTTGTCAAAAACCCATGTCACGGTCAGTTTTATTTTGTGCCGCATCTATGCATTAGCTGGTAGATATGAGACAGGTTTCATAAGCAAAGAACTCGTAGTGTATTCTTANCAGCTCCTATCTATTGGTAAGAGTTTAATGTGGTGAATTTGAATCTCTAACACCCTCACAATGGGGCAACTGAAAGCAGTATGTTGTAGGTCATCTGGAATTTGTGCATAATCTGGACATTTGACAAAGTAGGCCATAAAGACTAGGCAACGGTTGTGCTTCGCATGCGTTTGATCCGAAGAAGTGAGGCCAATTTTCCTTTACCTATTGGGATTGAATCGTTAGCTTTTATCCATAAGTTCGACCTCATCACCGTTTGACTGTTACCAGTGCGCCAAATTTATCTAGCGATCATCTGAATGTCTCCGGAAAACAATGTATTCCGATATTCGTCCGGTTCTTATGAAAAATGAATAGGATTGGCTATTCATAGTCAGCTCAGAACTTTCAGTGATTAAGTGAGTAATAAATGTTGCCTATTCATGAAGAATCACTATATGACTGAATTATGAATCGGTAATATGATTCGGTGATTGTACATGATTGACTTAATGTATTCAGTATCTACCTAAGGGCATTGTTATGGCAATATCTGGTGTATATACATGACAAATAGTTTGCAACAAATTCGGCAGTTATAATGAGTACTTACATCAAAGTGTAATCTTTATTACATAAATGTGCAAGAATTTAGTTCATCAAATGCCATTGAAGTTGTATAGAATTAACTTTTGATCATAAAACTGAAATCCGGATTCTTTCGCTTACCAAAATAAGACATTCAAATGTGCATGTGTGAATCATAATGATGTGGAGGGGAACAATCTCTGACTCCCTCCATTTAATTCAAAGGAAATGCTCGCAGACAGTGAATGGCTAGAACCGTTTCGATGACATCAAATAAGACCACCTCACTGCCAAAGGTCCTTTCTGTTCTTCCGTAAGTCGTTTTTATTTGCGTATGAATCCTAATTTCCTTTGAATGTGACTTTGCATTAAATTATCGGCTGCCGTGAATTTGGCAGTACATTTCGTACTGCATCGTTCTGGTTAACGTCACAACAATTACTACAGATCAAACCATGCAACAATGGTTTTCGAAATGATAATTGTACTTTCTGGTTGAAGCAGATATATGTGTATTTTTACGCATTGGAATGATTCTTCGTGAGGAAGGAAGCAGTTCTTACATTCAGTATGGTTTTCCTTTCTTGTTAGAATTCGATTATGCTCTTAGTTTACTTGAATAAAACTAACGACATAAGTCTGACTGAGAGGCTTTTCTCTCTCATTTGCATTTACTGCTTTTGTGTGAATGAGTTAAGAAACATCTAGCGTGATATTAGACCAAGGTATTGAATCAGCACATGATACAGTGTTCAGACTCAGTCAACTCACTTTTGAACTGAACCCGTAATTTTGCAATTCAAGTGGTGTCAGGAAACAAGATTTATTAGACACATGCAGTTCAACAAAGCTTTTGACAACCAAAAACGAACTGTTGGGACCCACCAGCAGTCAGTAATTTTGTGGCCCAATCGAAAATGGAACCACGAGCTTCCGGGTTGAATGGCGAAACATGTATACTAGAGCTACGCAGCAGAAAAATGGTATCATGTGAATTTTTTAAACAGGTCATAAAAAATGTGCTTCGTGCTTGTGCAATTCAAATGGGTGAGCCAAAACACAACTTTATGATTGGTATTAACTGGCGTTGATTTCCCACATAATCGTAATGCATATGTAATGTTATTTTCTAGTCATTACATACCAAACTGATCTACATTCTAAGATGAGTACAAACCAGATTGAAACAGCTGTTCGGTGCTCCCTATCTTTTAGCACACACTTATTTTGCAAGAGGAAGTTACAATACAATCATTTCGAATAATCTAATACTTTTATATTTATTCTTGTTGATTGTTATCACGTGTATAATCAACCCAAGGAAGCATTCAACTCGGGACTTCGCAGTTGAGAAGAAAGCATAATGCACACAATTGACGGGAGTATAGCTAATCAGACTGTGGCAATTTGCTCTGTGCACGATGAACCGTACTTAACTAAAATCTTCTGCTTTGCTCTCCCGTATCCCCCCGGCTAGGAATATATATTTATCCGAATATTTATAAAGTTAGTATTCAAAATATGTTCAAAGACTGAGTAGGAAGATACAACGTACTTTATATCCGTCAAACAAGAGAAACGGTCACGAGTGAACTATATTATAATAGTTAGCAGATTACTTGAATCCTTAAATTGTTTCAAATTTCTCTCTCTTGCGATTGTCCGCATTCAACCGGAACAAGGTCCAGTATTGAAAATGGAATCCTGCCATTTGAATGTAATTTCACAAAATAATGGGTTGAGAGAATGATGTGCATTTGAGCAAAACAGCGATACTTATACTGATTTGTTTCGTCCATCATTGATTGCAAGGCGTCAGACACAAAGGTCTCATTTTCACTGTCAGCTAATCGTGCCGCGAGTAATCGGCATTCCACAGAACCGGTGTAACAGAAGTAGTCACGCCTCTCACGTTTATTCTAATCAAAAAGGTAGTACAAACTAACTCTGGAATCTCATACGATTTGGGATTTGAAGGCAAAAATATATATAATTGCAATTAGAATCATCGGAGCGAGCAATTTCAATTATTCAATGCAAGTAAATGTACAAATTGGACATTATATAAAGCCTAAAGATTTTAACTTCTATGCTCCGATAAAGGAATTTATATCACGGATTTTGTTCTGTTGCATCGCTTTTCCGAAACCAAAGCAAACTAGTACACTACCAGGTTGCTCTTTTTTAAGGGGGAAAAATGAACGAAAAATGCTTAATTTTAATGATGCAGTGGCTGTCGTCAGTGAGGACTATCAAGGGATGATTTTAGGAAATTGCTTATGCTGTTTAAATAATATTATATTATTATTATTATCATTATTATATTATTATTATATATTATAATAGTTATGCTAATTGTTTCTACCTTCCCACGTGAGCCGGATCAGTGAAGTTAGCTGTCCTCATAGTCACCGTAGAAAATTTTGTTTAAACTTGGCGAGCACTTCAAAAGGTTGTCTCTAGTTGTGAATAATGGAAATTAACAACAAAAACGGGTATTTTCAACGTGTAACTTGTTATTGAACTCATTAAGCTGCATGTTATGCCCATGCATTCTTTTATTTTCGAATTCATGCAACGGGAGTCAAGAACGCGATAGAGAGCATCATCGTTTGTGCAATAGAAATAAGTGACCAGAAAAAAATCAGGGAATCATTTACCATGAACAGACCATTCCTGAATGATTCTCGTTCGTTGTCGACCGAAAAACCTATCTACTATCCACTGCTGCCACATTGCTCATTATTGAATTCTAGCTATTTGGTTACCAACTTTTATGTGCAACGGGCATCTGTTTTATCGAGTTCAAATGCATCGAGATCACACTGTCTATTCCGCATTTTTGAGAAAAAATTACTGACCGATCATATCAACCGAGAGAAAAGTCATCCAGTGTATCGGCCTATGTGCGTATTATTTAAAGATGTATCAAGCAAAGTTGATTTTCTAATGTAAAAATTACTTGCCTTTTGCTGACACTCGGGTAATTGTTCACGTCCAATCATCTGACCAGTGCTCAGCAATCGATTCCCCGACCAAACTTGAACCACTGAGAGTCGTTGAACAACATTGTGCAAAACACGCACCGTCAATACCTGTTCGTCCAAGTGATTCAGAACTCTGTGAAATAGTCCGAAACAGGATACAACTTTCAGATGACCTTCAGGTTAGAAGCGGACTGAGGATTTCTGTGTCTGTCGACTGTTTTGCGTTAATGACACTAAAATATTTGCACAAACAGCCATTGTGTCTCATTGTGCCTGATTTCGATAACAGGCCCGATACGTTTGTCCGCGCAACACAGATTAACACGAATAGAATAAACGAGAGCATCTTGTGGAAGAAAATGATTTGAAATCATCTTGACGTCCACTCACAGTGCATATAGCTGGATAAATGTACTGCCGATGATTAAATCGGCTTCTGTTATTATTGTGTTTATAACACCAGCCCAGGTTAGAATAACTTCTATCACTGGATTTTATGTGTCAGAATTTTAGAAGAATAAATTACTTTTCTTCCTTTCAGCTTTAGTGGCATTTCGACGTACTGCCGGTGTACAGTGCAAATGATGATGCCTCTGACTTAATCGTTTCGTTCCACTTTATGTGCATAACTTCCCGCAACCTCCTTAGTGCACTTTCGTGCTCACTAATATGTCCGTGTATTGAATTGGGGGTTCGAAGACCTGAAACAATATCTCAGTTTTAATGCTGACAGGAAGACTAAATAGGTTTGAGTTGAATTTACGCTTCATTGGGAAATTACCGTAATTGTAGAGCCAGTTTATCATAATTTTTATTATCGCAATTAAAAGATGCTTACGTAGAAATTTAAGAACAAAAAAATAAATTATCACGGAAAATATCATTCCTAACATCTTAACGGTATTTGCACTCAGAACTGGCAATTCGTCTGGACTGTAAACAAGTGAACAAAAGCGTTTTATGATTTAGATTTACAAGTGTAGATAATCACTGCGATGCATAATTTACAACAATTGCTAGCAGGCGGTTGAACCAGATGGTGCGTTATTGGTATGCTGATACACCACTACAAAGGACAGTTCCCGCATGCTTATCTATTATGCAGTAGTTAGACTGAAAAAACTGCGGCAGAAATTAAAAAATACACCCCCAGGTGTATTTACTATTGATAATATATTGTTATGAAAGTGGCGAATGAAAATATAGATCAATATCAGCTTTATTGATTCAAAACTGAAGCTTCTCGGAAATGCATCTGTATCTAGGGCGAAATCAAAGAAACAGGTTGACAATCATTGAGGCAATGATAATGGTGGGTAAATGGGGCACACATTTCCCTAGTTGTGCATTATGTAATATACAATACAAATGATAACCGTCAAAAAAACAGCAATGTAGTTGGTATGGAAAGTTTGGGACTTAGAGTAAAATTACTACATGTTACAAGCGTTTACGTATGTATTTAGAGCACTAATCCATACAAACACTGTTCGTTTACTAAAAGCGCAAGATAAAGCAATTTCTTCAATGGATTTGGCTTGAAGTAATAGAAGTTTGTATAAATTGAGAAAGTGAAGTAAACTGTCCTGGCTGTGCTGATGCAAAATAATATTTACCTAATCAAGGGTTTCAGTTGCGTTAAGATCTATACATGTGCTGTGCACTATGCATAAAATATCACGACAAAACATGTATGTACAGGAAGCAAGAATAACAAGTTGATAATAAATTTTGCGAAGAAATCATACTGGAGAACTTTTCCCTCCTACTTGGGACTTGTCAACAGTGTCATTATTCCTAGTATGAGCTTGAGGTCGCAAGTCGACAAGTCCCCTTTCGCCGAAGCTAAATGGTTGATGTCTA